ATTCTCTTTGGAAAGTATTCAGGTGGTACTCGCGGGTCACACAGAGGCCAAGGTCTCCTCTGCAGCCTAGTGGCTGTCACTCAACCCCACTCAGTTATACACCTCATGATACATGATCTATAACCACTTCTCTCTATCCCCTCCAGAGTTCAGCTTCCCACTTTGGAAAGAAAGTAACTGACGCATATTGGTTTCTCTGTCAACATGCCTTATCAAGTTTTCTTTTCTTAAAAGGCAGTTATGAAACCCCACAAGAATTATTTCTCTAAATCATGGCCAAAGTATTGCCTTGTGTTGATAGCTAATGATATCTTTTCTTTTTTGCCTCTTAAGATCAACAAATTGTTTTTTAATGAAAAGAACATAGGCTTTAATGATTAGTTTGAATCTTTACCACTTGGTAATTTTTTAACATGGAAAAGTGGCTTAACTTCTGAGTCACTTTTCTCCAGATAATTTTCTAAAAATAGCAGCACATTAATGCTATTAATCTGATTTTTTTTTGCATGTTTTTTAGGTACCAGGTTATTATTCTAGTTGCTTTTGTATATGTGATGCCATTTAATTCTCTCAAGAATCTGGCATAGCAGGCACTGTTATTCCGTTTTTATGGGTAGGAGTCTGAAGACCAGAGAGTAAAGTAACAGTTCCAAGGTTGCCCAGCTCATAAATGATGGAATGGGCAGTTATGCGACCCAGGCCTGCCTGAGCCAGGACACTTGACCTGTCTACCATTCTTCAGTCATATGAAATAGAAATGACGCTATTAATAATGCCCATCTTATATGATTATTATGAAGATTAGAAATAATGTGTATGGAGCTCCCAGCACAAAAGCCATTCCACAAAACGCCCGAAACAAATGGTAATCATTGTTATCTTTTAAAATTTCCGTAAGTGAAACTGACATGCCAAGACATAAAAATGAGCACCTCAAAGGAAAAACATAGAATATGCGTTCTACTCCCTTCATTTTGTTGGTTGGTTTGTGTGTTTGCTTGCTTTTCTTTTCTAGTAGGCAGAGGTTCTGTTTAAAAGAATATCATATTGTTTCTTTGATGATAGCACAAAGGATGATCAGAACATTGGTTGGAATGATTAATATACTATAGTAGTATATCTCAAGTATATCTCAAATTACAACACAAGTTAAATCTGTAAAATGAGAGCTTTTAGATTTTATTTTTTCAAAGTTTATGCTGTTTACGGGATTTTGTTAAGCTCATAATTTCTGTATTTGTGATTTTGTTTTAAATTCAGATTATAAGAGAAAAAAGATAATGGTGCCGACTTTGAATATGAACTACACTTGGCCATTAGTTTTCCATTAAGCCTTTATTCAGCAGATAGCTCACTCAGATTGCTGTAGTCTATGAACTTGAGCCAAGTCTTCCCATTTCCAATTTTGCAACAGAATTTCCCACTTCTAGTTACTCTTGTGGGAGGAACCAGAATGCCAAAAGTCACCTTGATCTAAGATACCTTATCAGAAGAAAACTAGGTGTAGATTTTTGCTTCTCTTTAGACTCTCTGCATGTTTCCTTGGCAGAGTTACTTCAACACATTGAAGGAGAGTTTGGGATTTGTATTTCATTTTCCATCAGACTGATTTTCTGGTGTTAGTCATTTGAAGAGATCTAGGATGTTTGTTATCATTCTGTTAGCTATTTTCTCTAACAAATGTGTAAGTCATCTTTCTATCTACCTATAATAATAATAATTAAAGTTGAGTGGATGTGAACTTTTCTTACTGAATTTAGTGTCTCTGTTAAATACCTTCTTGCAACCTATACTTTCAAGTCTTTTGAGAGACTGGGACAATAGTTGACAAGTAAAATAATGAAGCAGCTTACTGATGATCCAGGTTATTAAAAATTAAAACACTGAGGATAAACTGAATCACTTATCATCAATGTTTTCATAAATAGCATCTTATACCTCCACCACCACTTTTAAAGAAGGCAGCCATTGAATAGTAGACAATAAAGGACAATTGATGGTTAAATATCTTGAGCAGGGCTTTGACCATTCCATTATTGAATTTTCTTATGATTAAAATGTGATGGGGGTTGATTCCGTCTACTTTTAAAAAGTATAAAAGAGACTTCCTGGTGATCCAGTGGCTAAGATTCCCGCATCCCCAAGGCAGGGGGCCAGGGTTTGATCCTTGGTCAAGGACCTAGAATCCCACATGCCACCACAACTAAAATTCCCATGTGCCTTTGCAGCCAAATAAATACATAAATACTTTTTTTTTAAGTATAGCAGTTCTATGTTATATTTATTTCTATAAACAAATATATAGAGCACTTATCTTTAAAATAACTTTTGATGAGAAAGATGAAGTATATAAATTAAAAGGGAATAACATTGTACCAGATCAGTTATAATATAAAGAAAATTTATAAAATATGCAGAAATTGCTTTTTTGAAAAAACTATTAATAACATTTGATTTCTTGTTAACAAAGACTTTCATCTTATAGAAAAAAATCTTAGTTTGGCCACAGCACCAGAAAAATAGAAATTGTATAGTGTAACATGTCCTAAAAACTTTTTAACCCCGTACATATTCTTTTTTCATGAAGGCAGCATTTCTGAACTTGGGAGAAGTGATCTTATTCTCAGATCTTTGCACTTGATCATAATTCATAGTCAAAGTAACCTCTTTATATGAGCAAAATTACTGAAGATTTGTCTTTGTCTCCCAAAAGAGATATCAAATATGTCTATCCAAAGGCAGATCTTGTTAGATGCCATCAATGATGTTTATGCAATAATTATAGTACATGTTTAAGGATAAGGTAGTAGAATATGTAATTAAAATTATATATTATCCTAAAAGAATTTGTTTTGGTTCTTTTTTTAATAAGGTGATTTAATAATATAGGAGAGTTTATTTTCAATTTTATAGTAAATATATTGATTTTTAAAACTTGGAAGTAATACATAGTACACCTAGCTCATATTAATACTTATTGGCCAAGGAGTTGTCAGACTACTAATCTGTAGATATAGTGTAGTAGTATTCTACTCATTCTGCCATTAGAATGAGATGATCTCATTTTCAGTTTCCCCTTTCCCTAGAAGGTAATTTTTGTTTTCATCTTTTTAGTTAGTCTCAAGATTTCTAAATACTTTTAGGAGTGTTTTCCAAACTGTTTGTCAGTTGTATAAGCCTCAAGAAAGTAGTAGGTTTTGCTTGATAAACTTAGGGTACTGATTTGCTTTGGGATTTCTGGCTTATGTTTTATGCTTTGTCTGTTTACAGATACTTGAAAAAAAAAATTGCCCTTACTATAAGCCCTTTTAGAGAAGCAGGTAGCTGTTTTTATACATTTAAGATATGACTAAAATTTTAAAATAAAATGAAAAATAGAGGACTCAGATTCCTCCCTGACTTAGGAAGAATCCTTGTCTTTTTTTTTTTTTTTTTAAGTGGACCAGGTTTTCTAATTTATTTTTGTTTTGTTCAGTCTCTAAGATCTCTCAATTTCAAGGGCACTGTGGGGCATATGTAGCATTTATGTGATGCATGTATGTGTATGCGTGTTTTCCCACATCTGTCGCTGTGGCCCTATCCTTTGTGAAATCCTAAACCATGTATTAAATGCTTAGTTTGTGATTCATGGTGTTCTGAGAGCAATTATAGAATTTTTCTTAGGGTGTTTATTCCATGTGCGCTGTGAAAAAAAAGGGGGGGGAGTTATTTTTTTGGTAACCCTGCAGTTGCCTTTTTATTGGTGAATTTCCCTTTCTTTTACTGTGACCTGTGAATATCACTGTAGGCTCACTGCCAATTTTGTGAGCCGCTGCCTGCTTCAAAATGGAGGCAGGAAGGTATCCATTTTCATCAAGAGGATGACAGTGTTTCAGTCTCTCTGGCCATCTGGAGAGAGGAACTTTTGGAGCAAAAGAAAATAGAGATTTAAAAAAAATCATATTTAGCAGAAAAGGCAAGGGAGAAAACCAATTAAAGTTAAACTGTACCTTATGAATTTATGCCTTATGAATTTATACCATGCTGTCTACTTTAAAGCAAACATAAACAAGAAAATACACAAGCTATTTTTGTAAAGAACTGGTTCCCCAAGTCCCATGAGTATTAGTAAACGAATGTAAGTAAATTAAGGTTTTGGCAGTTTTAAAGTTTATTGAACATACAAAGATAAAAGAACTATAAATGAGGGTTTCCCTCCCCCTTCCTGTGTACGCACTGATTTTTGGTGGTTTGTGTATATCTGGGCTTTTAATAGCCTTTTTCTTGCATCTCTACAAAAAGCTGACACTTTGGAAATTTAATATTCTAAGATACATTTGTCACTTTCTGTGGTCTGGAGAGTGCATTTATTTTATCTGTCTTTTTGTCTCTGTCTCTGACTTTAAATTTTAATTGAAAGGTAGACTAAATAGGAGAAGTTTGAAGCATGTCTTTTTTTACCTTTTACACGCTCATGAGCCATTTATGTTTTTTAAAAAAAGAATGCTTAGGTTTCTAGGACAACCCTATGGGTGTTATATATCTACAACCCAGGTGGCTCAGTGGTAAAGAATCCACTTGCTAATGCAGGAGATGTAAGAGACGTGTGTTTGATCCCTGAGCTGGGAAGATCCCCTGGAGGAGGAAATGGCAACCCACTCCAATATTCTTGCCTGGAAAATTCCATTGAAAGTGGGGCCTGGAGGGCTACAAGTCCATGCGGTTGCAAAAAGTCAGACACAACTGAACACACACGCACAGCAACCAGATGTAGTTCTCAGTATTCTTGCCTATAACTGGAAAATATCACACCTGATTTTCCATTTGCACAGATCTACTCAGCATTTTGTTTTGTTCTGTTTTTCTTTACGGGGAATGGAGCAGTGTTTCTAGAGTTTGATCAGATTTCGGATGGATGTGGTAGAAATTGTGCCTTTTGTGCCTACTTCTTGCAAAGTCATAGACCTTGAGATGCTTGGGTGCAGGCAGCAAGCAAAACTAAACGGGCTCTCGTTCCCCAGGTTTATGCTCCATCAGCCAGCACTGCCGACTACAATAGGGACTCTCCAGGCTACCCTTCCTCGAAACCAGCAGCCAGCACTTTCCCTAGCTCCTTCTTCATGCAAGGTAAGACACTGCCTTTTCCAAGGGGAGATCCACGGGTCTTTTATGTCATATATGGGACAAAAGAGCGCTGTTCTAATACCCAAGAAATGGAATAGGAGGCCAACAGAGAACATGGAAGTCATGCTCTATTTTAGGACTTGAATTCATTAAAAATAAATGAATTAAAACTTCACTGAGACGTATTTTGTAAATGAAAGCCTCTTGAGCCATCATGAGTGAAGATTACACTGGTTTGGTTACTTAGAATGGATGCTTCCTGGGGGAATGTCTACCATGACTTATCATTTCTGCATCATTTCTTCCCGAGAAGAGCACGTACATGTGTTCGTAAGTGCTTTGATTCAACATGTATTTGGAGCATCATGGATTTAGACACATGGAGAGCAAATTGCTCTTATACATACCTCTATACAAAAACGTTGACCACTTACAATCGCTTCTTGGCCTTTTGACTAAGATTGAGTGTAGTGTCTGTTCTTATCAGTAAAAATGTTGGCTGTTTATTAATTCATAGGGAAGAACAAGTGTCCCATTGAAGATGAAGTGACCTGTCGAACCTCAGAAGTGTTATTTCATTACACAGCAAAAGCTCTATTCTAACACTGACTGACTGAGGGTCCAAGACCCAGCTTTTTTCCCAGACAGATATTGAAAATTACAGCTTTGTGGTAGATAAAGTATATTTAATCCACTTAATTGTCCAGTGTATTTTATTTAGTGCACATGGATATATGCTACCCGAGCTTACAGTCTCACTTCCGGTAGTACTTCTTTTTCTGCTGTGTAGGAAAGACTGAGAGGGTTTAAAGGACCTCTACTTATGAGAGGAGACAGTCCACAGGATGCAGCTTTAGCTGGACAGTCGGTGTGTACCCTGGACACTTGTTGTCAAAATGTGATAATCTTGTTACCAGGTTAATGCTCTGAAATTCAGATATAGAATTCACCAGGAATCCCTGTATGCAAACTTGAACTCTTTTTGCCTCGGCAAAGTGCAATGGGATTTCCTCCTTCTTGCTCTTCCAGGAAAGGACCATGTCACGGGAAAGGAAACCACTTGGGCCAGCAAGTCTCGGGAGCGGCTTGGCGTGTCCCTTATATTAGAGTGGACACATTCAAAATCATTCTATTGCAAGGGAATTTGTGTCCTTTCCTTGCAGAGTGTTAGCTCTCTTAGGTTGCTAGTTCACACATGAAATTCCACGGAAAATCTATAAAGTTGAATTGAATAGGTCCCTGGGTTTCCCACATAGCTCAGTTGGTAAAGACTCCACCTGCAATGCAGGAGACCCCAGTTCGATTCCTGGGTCGGGAAGATCCGCTGGAGAAGGGACAGGCTGCCCACTCCAGTATTCTTGGGCTGCCCTAGTGGCTCAGCTGATAAAAAACCTGGGTTCGATTCCTGGGTTGGGAAGATACCCTGGAGAAGGGAGAGGCTACCCACTCCAGTATTCTGGCCTGGAGAATTCCATGGACTGTATCGTCCATGGGGTGGCAAAGAGTCAGACACGACTGAGTGATTTTCACTTTCACTTTCTTGGGAATAGAGAGAATTGGTTTCACATGTAGTGGAGCACCTATTAACCGGGGTCTTTTAGCTTTGTGACCTGTCCTCGGTGTCCGTTTCTTTCAACGGCAGCAGCAGGTAACGTCATTCGGGTGTGTTCTGCGCCATGACAAAAGCCTATCACTTTCAGCTTTAAACAGTAGCCACTTGGGCGTCAACGGGCTTCCCTGGCAGCTCAGCTGGTAAAGAATCCGCCTGCAGTGCAGGAGACCCCGGTTAGATTCCTGGGTCGGAAAGATCCCCTGGAGAAGGGATAGGCTACCCACTCCAGTATTCTTGGGCCGCGCTGGTAGCTCAGATGGTAAAGAATCCACCTGCAATGTGGGAGACCTGGGCTAGATTCCTTGGTTGGGAAGATCTCCTGGAGAAGGGAACCGCTACCCACTCCAGTATTCTTGGGCCGCGCTGGTAGCTCAGATGGTAAAGAATCCACCTGCAATGTGGAAGACCTGGGCTAGATTCCTTGGTTGGGAAGATCTCCTGGAGAAGGGAACCCGCTCCAGTATTCTTGTCTTGAGAATTCCCTGGACAGAGGATCTGGTGGGCTACACCCCATGGGGTCGCAAAGAGTTGGACACAACTGAGCGACTTTCACATTCACTTCGGGCATTGACACCTCTCTTTTATGACCAGGGAAACTATACTACCGTTACCTGTGCCTATAGAGATTGTCAGCTCAGGGACTCATCACCCAAAGCCTAATTTCACTGAGAAAAATTGACACAAGGATAGATTTTGTCCATCTGCCTTCAGGAAGGTCACTTGCTTAAACCATGCACACTGTAAGGAGAGACCAGGTAGATTAAAACAACAGGCTCTTCTCCATGTCAGACCATGCAAAATATGGGGAACAAATTTGTTTTTCTGCATATGAATACTCAAAATGCAAAAAGAAATTTTTTTTGAGTTGACATTTATGATGAGCACAACTGATTCACACACATCTAATTCTATTCTTTCAAAACACATTATGCCAAGATCATGGGACGTGATAAATATTAATTTACTGTGAAAAGCATAATTTATGTAAAATGTGTATTTTTGTAAGTCTGCATTGAGTAGAGTGTCTGTGTTAACAAATCCTAAATGTATTTCCATATAGTGCATCCTGTCAAAATGTTTCAGGAGACTCTTGTTCAATGATAGATATTCTCAATTTATTTGCCATGCATGTCATCTCTCTGAAGTGTTCGTTTTTCTTAGACTTCATGTTTGAATTTAAGATGACATCTACACTTTCACAATTTCCGAGCTAAATCCAAAGTCCATGAATAGTTACTTTTTAAAAGTCATATGTTTTTACATGATGGTCACAAAAACAGTGCATTGTAATCCCATTTCACATGGCTTCCTTCAGTGACAGTCTCCGATACCCTGAGAATTCAGGTCTTGAAGAAAATGTAGTTTAGATGAAAGAGATTCAGAGACTGTCAATGGCATAGGCTTCCCAGGTGTCTCAGTGGGAACGAATCTGCCTACCAAAACAGGAGACGTAAGAGACATGGGTTTGATTCTTGCCTGGAGAATCCCATGGATGGAGGAACTTGCCTGGCTATAGTCCGTGGGGTTGCAAAGAGTCAGTCATGACTGAGCACGCACGCATGTCAGTAGCATGTTTTAAATTCACTATTGTGTGACCTCTTATTTGTAACTTCAGCCTCCATCTTTTAGTTAAAACTCTTATGTTGTATACATCTTGTATACATCTGGCATTTAATTATTTTTGTTAAACTACTGAAGGAAAAAAAAACTGAATTGAGCGGTAACAGAGATCCTCTGCACCCTTAATTTAAGGAACCCAGACCAAGGGAAGCAAACTTAACAGTGACTTTGAGGCCTCTGGGCCTGGAGAGTGAAAAAAAATCTGTAGGAATATTTTTAATGTGGTGTTAATAGAAAATCAGCTTGATACTAAAATATATTTCATATAATTTTAATATCATTTTAAACTTCTTTTTTACTCATAGTTTTATAAAAATCCAGAGGCTTTCAAAATTGTCTGTAATGTAGATACCACCTTATGTGTGTACCCTTTTGATTGCTACTGAAGACTTAAGTTAGCTATATAACTATATATCAAAATATAAACATTCAGAAAAAAGACACACACTCAGAGCTATGTACTTGAGACTATTCTTCCTTAATTATTACATCCCATAATGTAATTCCAACTTTAATTCCATCTACTCTATGTCACAAAATGAAACCCAATCTCTGAAGTCAGAGATACTCTTTCTCATTATTACTTATTTCTTTATATGCTCTCAAAACTTGTAAACTGGCCATCTGTGTATTATCTCAAAGGTGTTATTTTGACCCCAAAATTCAGGAACAGTTAAATTTTTTCACTGATTTTCATAGGAAGAAAAATGTCAGGAGACATCTGAGAAATGTTTTCTTTAGCATTAGCTACCTTGCTGTCTTGACATAATTCTATGGAGAAATATGTTCTGTTCTTTTACAGTTGAGTTTTTACTAGGAACCCTTTAACTGCGTTAAATATTTATATTTGTTTGGCAACATAGAGCCACTTGGAGAAGTATCATGAGGTGGTCTTCTATAGTCAGCTCACCAACACAAAGATGCATGTACAATAGGCAGTTGTTTCGGGGGATATGAAAAGGCCCTAGTCTATAAGACAAGGCTGAGTGCCTCGAAAAAGTCACGGTTTTCTCTGTCCTTTACAGATGGCCATCACAGCAGTGACCCTTGGAGCTCCTCCAGTGGGATGAATCAGCCTGGCTACGGAGGGATGTTGGGCAATTCTTCTCATATTCCACAGTCTAGCAGCTACTGCAGCCTGCATCCACACGAACGTTTGGTAAGGCAGACTCACGTGGTAAGGGGGATGGTACGGCTCGTTTATTAAGTCTCCTCCTGTCTTCTCATGCATGTACATGCGGACTCTGTCAATGGACATAAAAATGGCACACGCCCTCTGACAGTCTTGTTTCTGGGATCAAAGACATACGCAGACCACTTTTGTAAGCCCACCAGGCTCTCTGTGTTGTACCCTGTTCTGCTGATTGAATTTTGTTCTGTGCTTTCTTTATCATGATGTCAGTTTCCTTCAGTACATAAATACATACTGTATTTGAGTTGCAGCACTTTAGCTGTGGTGGTTCCTTGGTTTTTGATGTTTTGTAGTTTTTTTTGTTTGTTTTTCTGAGGCAGGGGTTACTATCTGTAGTTTTGAAGGATATGCTGCAGGGGGCATAGCCAGTCAGTAGACTGTGAATTAGGTAATGTACATCTCCCAAGGGTATTTCCATTTCACCTGACCAGCTTTTGTAGCCGATGACAGCTTTGAACTATCGTGCCACACCTAAAGGAGAGCCTTCATGTCTCCTCTACACTCCCATCAGTTACAGCAACCAGAGGGTTTGTATTTGGATCAGATTCCCAATTTTCAGTCTTTTATTTTCACTTCCACACCCTCCAGCATCTCCTTGATACTCTTTTACTTTCACCCCTGTTGAAAACTGCTGGGCTAAAGAGAATGGTCTCTTTCTTTTATGACTAAAGTTGCCATTCTGCCCATCATGCTACACTCATCCATCCTAGTATGTCTCTTTATTCTGGAGGAAACAGGGCATCAGGTGTTTTTCTAGTCTCAAAATTTACCACATCCCAGAACCTACTGAAGAAATTAAGCCTATCACTAAGTGAAGGGAAAACTGCTTTTGGGTCGTGTGTTAGGTCTCGGCTCAGCTCATTCGCTCAGTTGTGTCGACTCTGTGACCCCATGGACTGCAGCACACCAGGCCTCCCTGTCCATCGCCAACTCCCAGAGCTTACCCAAACTCATGTCCATTGAGTTGGTGATGCCATCCAACCATCTCATCCTCTGTCGTCCCCTTCTCCTGCTGCCTTCAATGTTTCCCAGCATTGTGGTCTTTTCCAGTGAGCCAGTTCTTTGCATCAGGTGGCCAAAGTATTGGAGTTTCAGCTTCAGCATCAGTCCTTCCAATGAATATTCAGGACTGATTTCCTTTAGGATGGACTGGTTGGATCTCCTTGCAGTCCAAGGGACTCTCAAGAGTCTTCTCCAACACCACAGTTCAAAAGNGATGTTGGCAATTTGATATCTGATTCCTCTGCCTTTGCTAAAACCAGCTTCAACATCTGGAAGTTCACGGTTCCTGTAGTGTTGAAGCCTGGCTTGGAGAATTTTGAGCTTTACTTTGCCTAGTGTGTGAGATGAGTGCAGTTTGCAGTAGTTTGAGCATTCTTTGGCATTGCCTTTCTTTGGGATTGGAATGAAAACTGACCTTTTCCAGTCCTGTGGTCACTGCTGAGTTTTCCAAATTTGCTGGCATATTGGGTGCAGCACTTTCACAGCATCATCTTTGAGGATTTGAAATAGCTCAACTGCAATTCCATCACCTCCACTAGCTTTGTTCATAGTGATGCTTCCTAAGGCCCACTTGACTTCACATTTCAGGATGTCTGGATCTAGGTGAGTGATCACACCACTGTGATTATCTGGGTCGTGAAGATCTTTTTTGTACAGTTCTTCTGTGTATTCTTGCCACCTCTTCTTAATATCTTCTGCTTCTGTTAGGTCCATACCATTTCTGTCCTTTATTGTGCTCATCTTTGCATGAAATGTTCCCTTGGTATCTCTAATTTTCTTTAAGAGATCTCTAGTCTTTCCCATTCTATTGTTCTCCTCTATTTATATGCATTGATCATTTTGAGGAAGGCTTTCTGATCTCTCCTTGCTATTCTTTGGAACTCTGCATTCAAATGGGATATCTTTCCTTTTCTCCTTTGCCTTTCGCTTCTCTTCTTTTCACAGCTATTTGTAAGCCTCCTCAGACACCATTTTGCCATTTTTCATTTCTTTTTCTTGAGGATGGCATTGACTCCTGCCGCCTGTACAATGTCACGAACCTCCGTCCATTGGGATTGGGAGGCAGACAATATGCGACCAAGTCTCTTGTGCAGTAAAATAGATTTGAAAATGTATGAACCGCTAGTCCTCCAAATGGGAGACTGTAGCAGATCCAGTGATTCTTAGTCGTACTTATATTGTTGTTCAGTCACTCAGTCGTGTCTTACTCTTTGCGACCCCATGGACTGCAGCATTCCAGGTTTCCCTGTCCCTCCGTATCTCCCGGTGTTTGCCCAAACTCATGTCCGTTAAGTTAGTTGTTCAACCACTCCATCCATCCAACCATCCAACCATCTCATCCTTTGTCGCCCCCTTCTCCTCCTGCCCTCAATCTTTCCCAGCATCAGGGTCTTTTCCAATGAGTCAGTTCTTCACATCAGGTAGCCAAAGTATTGAAGCTTCAGGTTCAGCATCAGTCCTTTCAGTGAATATTCAGAGTTGATTTCCTTTGGGATTGACTGGTTTGATCTCCTTGCTGTCCAGGGGACTCTGAAGAGTCTTCTCCAGCACCACAGTTCGAAAGCATTAGTTTTTTGGCACTCAGCGTTCTTTGTCATCCAACTCTCACGTCCGTACATGCTGCTGCTGCTGCTGCTGCTGCTAAGTCCCTTCAGTCGTGTCCAACTGTGTGAGACCCCCAGACGGGCAGCCCACCAGGCTCCCCCGTCCCTGGGATTCTCCAGGCAGTGGGGTGCCATTTCCTTCTCTGCTGTATGAAAGTGAAGTCGCTCAGTCGTGTCCGACTGTTCGCGACCCCATGGAGCCTACCAGGCTCTTCTGTCCTTGGGATTTTCCAGGCAGGAGTACTGGTGTGGGGTGCCATTGCTTTCTCTGCATCCGTGCATGACTACTGGACAAACCATAGCTTTGACTATGTAGATCTTTATTAGCAAAATGATGTCTCTGCTTTTTAATACACTGTCTAGGTTTGTCATAGCTTTCTTCCAAGGAGCAAGCATCTTTTAATGCCTGTAGTCACCATCTGTAGTGATATTGGAGCCCAAGAAAATAAAGTCTATCACGGTTACAGTTTTTCTCTGTCTATTTACCACAAAGTGATGAGACTGGATGCCATGATCTTAGTTTTTTGAATGTTGAGTTCTAAAACAGCTTTTTACTCTCCTCTTTCACTGTCATTAAGAGGCTCTTCAGTTCCTCTTCATTTTCTGCCTTTAGGGTGGTGTCATCTGTATGTGCTTATACTACTACTCCTCATCTTGTGATGTGCCCTTTTTTCTTCTAATACCCAGATTTATGCTTCTTTCTCTGTCCTAATATAGGAGATAGTACTTTCTTGGTTTCTGTGGTCTTTGTTCTATTTTGCTCAGTCACCAGAGATAGGGAAAAGATGACTTATATCCTATTTTGATGACCGAAAACATTCCAGAAGAGTTCAGATATCCTTGAAAATATCTATTTATTAATGGATAGTCCTGGTCACAGAGACAAGGTGAGGATCCATGAGCTTATCCTCGAATGAGAGACAGAAGATGAAGGTGGAATTGGCCTTTTTCTGTCATCTCCCAACTTTGAATGTGGAAATCACAAGCTAGCTCAAATTTCAGCCCATTTTCAATAAATAGCAGATGATTTACTTTCAAATTTCTTCTTCTTCCACCTCTTACTTAGAGTTATTAGCGTGAAATCTCAAACAAATAGCACTTATTACTATACTAGAATTTCTTCTTGGTTAAAACTTTTATTTCACCATCATCATTTTGCACTTCTCTGGAGAACACATGATCAAAATTGTATGTGTCCTGCAATCAAGGAAAATTTTGGTTTACAAATAAAAGATTTTGGCACTGTACTAATATGTTGGAATTTCCATTAGGCATTTGTTTTTCTTCACTCCTGTATTTATTTCTTTCCCTATCATGCTCTAGAACTTTGACTTAAATGGTTTTATTTTTATTCCAGTCAAGTTCACTGCATGGAGGAAGCATGTTGAAAATGTGCTCAACAGCACAGAAAATGTGGTTTTTAAAATGGAAACCAATTATACCCTTTTAGAAAAAATTTCTTGAACCTAAACAATGTTATCAACCAGGAAGAAAGATCGTTTTGAAGGAGTAACCCGATAGGTTGTATCAGGTTCTGTGTGTATAATGTCATTTATCCATCGCAAAACAGTTTTCATTCTTAACACCAACAATTAGCATATCTTGGATATGAGGGGGTTTATTTTTCAAAAGGAGAAACAAATTAGGCCTCTGGTAATGAGTCCTGATGAATTTTCTCACTGATAGGGGAACTATTATGATATCTAGTAATCATTGTGATTTCAGTATTTATTAGAAAACCTCTTGCTGAAGTGACTTTTAAAAATCTGTTCTGATTGAGAATCATTTGTGTATACGGTACGCAGTTAGTGCCCTTTTGCTTGAAAGTAATGATGGTTCCTTAAATTTTTCATCTGTAGCTTTTACCCAGTTTCATACTGAACAAAGCAATAGTTTGAGAAAAAAGAGGAAAGCTTTCCTTGGATTATTTTGGGTATAATTTGGCCAAATTAGTATGTCTTGCTGAAGGTAAACATTTTAGAAACATGATTGCCTTTATCACTTTCTCGTATGTTATAATAGAATGTGTGATTACAAAGCTTAAAACCCAAATACAACAGTAGCAGCTGTCAAGTCACTGGTGGTGATTCTTTAAACCCCCTTTACAGTTTCAACCTTGACAGCAATCCCACAGCTAATCACTACTATGTCACAGATACACGTACAAAATCACCCTGAAGAATGCAGTTTGTGGTTACGCTTTGGAAGGAGCTGTTGTAGAAGATTTAGGTTTGGAATGACTTGGCAGAATTCTTTTTAAAAATAGGATAGAGTCCCTGCAGTCTGGCATGGGTTAGGATCAGTCTCTGTACCACAGAGTAAAATAGTCCTGGGAGTCTGGAATTTTACTATGAAGGAAGTTCTGNGAAACATTTCCAACACTTAACTCTGTCAATAGACTCCACATACACTATAATTGGGTATCAGGTAAAAATAAATAAATAGTGGACGTGTAAAACCTTAACACCTGGGGCTTTCCAGATGGCGCTAGTGGTAGAGAATCCACCTGCCAGTGCAGGAGATGCAAGACACTTGGGTTCGATCCCTCTGTTGGGAAGATTCCCTGGAGGAGGAAATGTTGCCCCACTCCAGTGTTCTTGCCTGGGAAATCCCATGGACAGAGGTGCCTGGCGGCACAGGGTCGCAAAAGAGTCAGACACGGCCGAGCACACACAGAACCGTAACACTCTGTCATACTTCCGTTTGCCTTTGCCTTTGTGGCAGGCAGGGCAGATATTATTAATAGCTGGAGTAAGAAAGACTAATGAGACCTCTTATAGTTGATCCCTAAATACTCTAAAAGAGACATTATTCACATATCACTAATAATCTCTGTGGTGTATTTATTACGTCTTTGAGTGACAGTAGTTGTCAAGATCCTTTGCCTTGTAAAATAATCTAGTTATAAATCTCATTAACTTATTTCAGCATCTAATTTTCTGTGAGTCTCTAAAAATAACTAATTTACGTGAATTGCATTGGTTTCCCCACTAAAGTCTATGGGGAAGAACTTTCCTTTTTAGTCTCTGAATTTAGGAGTAACCCTTTGTGAAATCCTGACATTTGACAAAGGGTTACTCCATTTTATACCAAAGTAAAAGGGTCTAAAAATTCCTTCTGATACGATAATCTTTTTCCTGTCTCATCCTCTCATTATTATAGTTATTTAAATATTTTTCAAAATTCTTTTCCTCTGTTTTGATTTTTGAAAACTTGGGGCTGGTTTATCCAGTTTCTCTATTCTTCAGAAATTCAGCATGGTCTAGGACTGGGTAAAAATGAAATCAAACAATCTTTTTTCTGTTTCTTTCTCTTTTTCCATAGTTTGTTTCTTTTTTCCACATTATTATAGTCTTTAGTTCTTAAGCAAAAATAGCTCTTCTAAGTTTGGTCTTCCATGGCTTATCCAGTTTTTTAGGTCAGTTGTACTGTGTAATGGGCTCACTTTATTATCCTTTGGAGAAAATTTCATGGACTAGTTGAGGTTTTCTGGAAGTGCCAAGTAGAAATGAGTTTAACAGGTGGCCTAAGGAATTTTTGGTCAAGCAAAGAGATCCAAGAAATTTATAAGTTTGAAAGGCATTCTTGGGAACTTGGAAATGTTTTAAGGCATCATCCCAACTATCTCACTGAAGTTGACCTTTTTTTTGGACTATTTGGGGTGTGCAGAGGTAATATTTTCAAAGGCATCAGCCATGTCACTGGCAGACCTGACTCTGGAATACAGATTTATTTTCTGGACTCTTTAGTTGCCTCTCAAATAAGTAGTATTTCAGTCCATTATTTATTAAACACTAGCTGGTCCCTGATGGCTCAATTGGTAAAGCGTTCGCCCTCAATGCAGGAGACCCAGGTTTGATCCCTGAGTCAGGAAGATCTCCTGGAGAAGGAACTGGCAACCCACTCCAGTCAGTATGCTTGCCTGGGAAATCCCGTGGACAGAGAAGCCTGTTGGGCTACAGTCCACGGGGGTCGCAAAATTTGGACATGACTTAGTGACTAAACCACCACCACCAACTGGTAACCAGTTGTTCTTTGAGCTGCTCATAGGATGAGTATGTTCAGCACTCAGCCACAAGTTGTGAGAGGCACAGAGGCAGAAACGCCCTCTTGAAGCGTTTCAGTTTAGGTGGAAATGCTCTTGAAAGAGGAAGCCTGGAAAAGCAGCATTTCAGGGAAGATCCCCTGGAGGAGGGAATGGCCACCCACTCCAGTATTCTTGCATGGGAAATCTCAGAGCCTGGTGAGCTCCAAGTCTATTTGCAAAAGAGTCCCCACATGACAGCAACTGAAGAAGACGACAGCAGCACAGCGCAGAATGTAAATGCAGCGTCAGGGAGGAGAGATTGTGAAGGGGCTGGAAGCAGGAAGGGGCCCTCAAGGGAGAGGCTGAGCCCAGGATGGGCCCCACCAAGTAAATAGGGGTCCTGTGAGACAGGGGGTCCATGTCTCATGTCCAGATGCTGGGCTTTAAGTGCCCCTGACTTTCAGCATCCTATCCAAACTCTGATTTCGACAGACTCTCCAGTAGTGCTGTACTAAAGATGCATAGCCCATTAATACATGACATACAAGGAAAAAGTATATTTCAACTTAAATATTTTTCCTTTACATGTCCGTCATATAGTCAAATACCTGTGAGCTTTACTTTTTAAGATACTTTAACTTGCAAAAGAAAATAGCTCCATTTTGTGAATAACTATGCTTTTTGTAAATAACCATGTTCCTCTTACTGGTCTCCGCCTTGGACAGGAGGCAGGTGGTTGGGGAGCAACTCATGTGTCACCTTCCAGGCACTTGTGAGATGCCAGATAGCAGCTAGTATGAGAGTCATACCCAGAGCTAAGCCTGAACACATTCTGTGAAAGAGGATATTCTTTCTCGTGGTCAACTCTATGGTGAATTGCTAAGGGAGAGAACCTATAAGGAAGGACAAAAAATAAGTTATTCTCAGTTCATTTGTTCCAGTGTAATTCAGCATAGTCTTTGACATAAGACTTTATACATATTGATACTGTAGAGAGATATTCAGTCATTAAACTGCTTTTTAAGTTTTTCATTTACCATTTTGTTGTTGCTGGAGTTCAGGAGGATGATCCAGTTGGTCGGGAAGAAGATTTGAGACTGGTTATTCTTGGCCAGTTAGTTTTCAGAAGATCAGGATAAAGTGTGCTGTGAACCCTGCGGGTCATGCTGGCGTTTTATTCATTACATTATGGGCTCTTTCTTACCTGATCAATAGGCTGTACCGAAGAATAACAGTAGTGATGGTCTTTTATTGTTGCTAAAGTCCCAGACCTGCTTTTAAGGAATCATTTTCGTATTTAGAGGTGGTGACCATTTCTCAAGATTTAGCACTGACATTATATTCCTCTAGCTTTGATGCAAACCCAAGCCAACTACGTCTTTGTATTTTATTACTTGAAAAATGAAAGTTGTCAGATCTAAGCAAGATGTATTCTTGGATATTTTGAAATTCCGAGGGCTGTCTCCACTGTAAAATGAAGACTTCTGAAAGAAGTATTGGAAAACTGAGCCACTAAATATTTTGTGATTGAATATGGCCTCCTTTTTCTGCTTCTTGCCACAGGGCTATCCATCACACTCCTCAGCAGACATCAATTCTAGTCTTCCTCCGATGTCCACTTTCCACCGTAGTGGTACCAACCATTACAGCACCTCATCGTGTACACCTCCTGCCAACGGGACAGACAGTATAATGGGTGAGTCATGGGAACGCCGATTCTGATGCTGACAACCAGTGTCAGGGTTTAATCGTCAAGGACTTCTTCTCCCCCCAACCCTGTCACTGAACAGTAATCGAGCTGTGAATGTTTATCACATGGACAAATGAGCTAAGCAGAAGTCATCATCATCTTGCCTGTAATCTCTTTTTGTCCTAAGACACTGCTTTTTGGCTGCCTGTCTCCACTGTGAGTGATTAGATTGAGCCAGGTTTGAATAGACCACCATGGGCTTCTCATACTCTCAAACAGCTAATGAAGTGACCTCTTCTAAGAGGAGCCTTTGAAAGTTAGTAAAATAGAAGGCATAATAGCTCTTAATAGGAGTTACTGACCATTCTCAAATTCCAGTCACCATGCTAAGCTTTTAACCGTCATACACCACTGTCTTCTGGAAACTAGTTCATGTGATGTTCAGACATAGTTATTAAGAACTAGATAGTTTTACCTTCTGGAGGATGTGGCATTATGGAATCCTCCAGACAGGAAGAAGTGTTGGGAGAGGAGATGGCTGGGCGTCAGTGAGCCAGAATTTACTTGCTGCTTTTTGTCAGCAAAATTACTAATGAGTCAAGACCCAAGCAGAGCGTCCTGTCAAATAAACGGAGCCATCATCTCTGAGTTTTTGTGATGTTCGTTGGGTCCTCTCCCCAGCATGCATGGTTACCCTGCCAACACTCTTCTCTCGAGGGAAGAGCTCGGTAGGCTGCCCGTGCGGGGAGGCAGCCACCACCTTCTGATTCTGCCTTCAACAACCTTGTCCTTCAGATGAGAGGCACAGTCTGATGCTGCAGAGTCTTCTCAAAACCTCAGACTTCCTCTGCTCACCATCTACTCTGGTTCCAGCTCAAACCCACAACTAACTCAGCCTTATGATCCCTTCCTGTGGGTCCAGTTTAGTGATGAGGACACTAACTGTACATTTTTTTTTTATTTTGGGGGTCTTCCCAGTGGCTCATGGTGAAGAATCTGCCTGCCAGTGCAAGAGACACAGAAGACACAGTTTTGATCCCTGGGTCGGGAAGATCCCCTGGAGGAGGAAATGGCAACCCACTCCAGTATTCTTGCCTGGAAAATTCCATGGACAGAGGAGCCTGGCAGGCTACAGTCCATGGAGTCGCAAAGAATCAGACACGACTGAGCATGCACTGAGACTGGAATGTGTATTTATTTATTTATTTTGGCTGAGCCACACAGCATGTGGGGTCTTAGTTCCCTGATCAGAGATTGATCCTGGCCCCCTGCATTGGAAGCATGGAGTCTTAACCACAGGACTGCCAGGGAAGTCCCTAACTGTACATTTTAAAGATAAGAATGTGTGACAGAAGAGTAGTCCCTTTAGCTCTTTGCAGTTGTTTAAAAATGTTCTTTAGATAGTCTCTGGAACTTGGGGAAGTGGTATGAATCACTTATGAGGGGGAGAGTTTTTGATGAAAGAGAAGAGATGTGTTTTGAAATGTTGCAAATGTAATTCTGCCTAAATAATATAGTTCCTGCTTACTCAATAATATACTTCACACTTGAGATGAGCCATCTAGCAGCCCTTCCTTTCACTGCCTTGTCTCACTGAGAGGCGAATTTAGGAAGTAATTTCCATTTTTGTGACTTTTCATAACAAAGCCTCTACCGGTGCGTTGTGTCAGTTTGACCTTGGAGAGCTATGGACAGAGGTCATGTGGGGAAGTTTTGCTAACTATCAATGCAGTTTGGCAGACCCAAAAAACAAGAAGAAAGAAAGAAGTGCAGAACTGAAAGAGTGAGAAAAGCATATTTCACTTCAGTGTGGTTTGACAAATGGAAAGCCCCTTTCTGCAGTCATGAGGTCTTCGTTATAAAGAAGGATGACCGGTCATTCATCCTTTTACAAGGCAGATTTCCTGTCTACTTGTGGTTTGAGTAATTTTCTTTTTTTAGGAAGGTAGAAAGGTAGAGCAAAAGCTTGAGTTGAGGAAAGCAAACTGAGGCACTGTTTGAAAACGAGTTGTGTTGAGTGATTTGCCAAACAGCTCCCGTAAGAGTCACAGGGACTGGGGAAGAAAGAGATCTTATGAGATGCCATCACCCTCCATGACCAGTGGTCCGCAGGGCCGCGAGTCTCAGCTGGGATAGAGTTCGCCTTACTTAAGCTGATTGGCTCATCACTGGCTTGTGGATGAACAAGAATGTCTACCCTCCTTTTTTATTTGGTCTGGGCAGGTAGAGCAATAATTGGTGACTTCTGCATACTAATATCCAGGGCCCAGCTACGTTAAGATGGGCTTACTATACAGACCAGAGGGCCCTGTTTAAGTGGAGGGAGGGTCTAGACAATAAGAAAGGAGCTATACTTTCCAATGAGAGAAGTGTGAGATTTCTGGAACCCAGAAAAAGCTTTTTAGGAACAACTTTATTGCATAAATTACTCCACCATCATGAGTGTATTTGTCAAAATCTACTAGCAACTTGTGAGAAAGCTTTACAATCATTTCGGGACATAAGTAGACATGGTAATTCAGCTTTTTGGAGGAATAGATCTTTATTAATTTGCATACGCACTTGTTACTTTAGGATTACTTTAAGGGAGAACATTCTAGAATGTTCATCCTTAAAATAATACATCCTCCAATTCCTTAAGTTAAAATACAGAGGAGAATTTAAGTATAATAATAAGCCTTCATATTTGCATGGGGTCCAAGTCACCCTTGTTTCTTTGCATATTTTTTTTTTTTTTTGCACTTTAATTCTAGGTTTTGGTTTGATTTTTTCAGAGTGTGGTAGAAGGCAGGGATGGCAGCATGTCTGTAGAACAAGAAGAGAAGATTTCTCTTCTGATGTTAGTGATGCTTTCCTAACAAACAGTATGGATTAATAGGATACATCTGTAGACTTTTGAAAATATTTGGCATATACTCATTCACTCTGAAATACAGGAAATAAAGAAATATTACATTGCCTGTATCTCAAAGAACAAACAGAGCTAATTAAATAATTGGTAAATAGGGAACACACAGCCTGACACATGTTTGAGATTACACACATGATTCTGTAGAAAATGACTGTAAGCAATACTAATGCCATAAGAATGGGGTTCAAGCACTAACACATGGACATCACATTCTTCAAGTTTTCTTGGTGGAAAGTGGCAAGGCAATGCAGGCTTTTCATAAATGGCGTCGATGTCTTAGGAAGAGGAAGATCACAGCTCCACGTTACGCTGTGTCTTCCTGGCAGTCAGGGAGTGTCCCCGACCGATCATAGAAGAGCACAGTGCTTGTGGAGTGAGATGTAAAATCTGGAACCATCGGTTCGTGCCCCGTCTGGAAACATGCTCCCTTGCCTCTGGATCTGTCCCCTGCATCTCAAGAGATGGAATATGCTCATGGAGGTTTGGGACGGCTTGTGTTTGACTTGGAGGGATGGTCATTGTTTCTCGTTTTGTTTTCTTTTGCCCTTTTATGCCCAGTATCATTTTTTGACCAAAAGCTGAGGAAGGGCAAAACCAACTCTGAATGTGTTAATGACAGGGTTTTTTGGGTGTTTTTTGTTTTTTGGTTTTTTTTAAATAACACATTCATCCGTGGATTTTTGAAAGAATTGTACAGTAAGATATTTTACTTGCAGCATGTAGTACCCTGCTTTTCTGCCCACGCTAGAGTGCATCAGGCACGTCTGACTTAGAAGGGTAGATGCACTCTGGAATGATACAAATATAATGCATGTGACACACCGCGGATCCTTAGTCGTTTAACTGATGGGGTGGCCAGTTAAGGATAGAAGCTAAGTCTGAGGGCTTCAGCAGTTACCACCGTCAGAGCCTCTCAACTTGCTTCCTAAAACTTTCTCAGTGTGACACTATCTGGGTGTGCTTTAGAGTCGTTGCAGTTCAGAGCTTCTGTCTGTGAGCAGGCGTCCAGAGGAGGGGATGGGAGAAGTTATTAGGTACCAACTCTAGAGGGGAGAAATGTCTATAGAGAATGGATGCATAGTACATGTGACATGTTATGGAAAACCCAGAACCAGCTTTCTGGCCAACCCAGTAGGGACCTACTGTCTCCATAGCTCCTTCCTACTTGCAAAATCCTATAGCCTTTTCTCTTCAAAAGGATTGAGAGACCCACCTAGCATCACACAATCCTCTACAACTCCCCACAAAGAAGAATACTCCAGTTTCCCCAGGGGAGATACCATCGGTGTACATTCCAGGGGTGTGACCGCTTGTGGTTCGGAGCAACACACCCTCTTTTCTCAGAGGGAATTGGGCATACAGCTAGCGTAATGCTTATAATAACTGTTATTGTTTTGTTAGTCTTGAACCAGCCTGTCTAATGCATGGTATTCACCATGTCTTTAAACCTCAAACCAAACAGTGTTGAAGGAACAGCCTACAAAGATTGATTGAATACAACATATGCTAAAGATTACCCTAGAATATCTATCTGGTTCATGAATTAATCTGGCTTCCAACTTTCACTTCTAATGACATGTTTGTATGAGATGATGGGTTTTAGTGTGTAGCTTTTCTAGTAGAAACATTATGTCCGTTTTCCCTTGAGGACCCGGTTTCACAGTAATTTTATTATGAGAATAGTCACATAAGATTCACTTTGTCTTTTACAAGAATTTTGAGCCTTCAAATACAGTTGGGTGATGAACAGGCACAGAGCATAAGAGCAATAGGAATTTTATCCAGCAGCGTCATGGCATCTTAGTTACAAAGACCACCAACGGAGAACAATAAACCAGTTTGATTTAAGTCTTCTCATCCATTTCCTGCACGGGGTGGATGGGGCCCAGCTTCCCCCTTGAATTCCTAGGAATCCGTCCTGCGAAAAGTTCAGTGTTTGGTAGCCTGTACTTAAGTTGTTCTTCTAATATTGTAGGTCGTAGGAGAGCTGGGCATTCTCCTTCTTTTATCTTTGTTGAGAAGCTCATGACATTGTTATGCTGTTTCTACTAGTTGAATAACATGAGGGTCGCTTGGACACAGTGCAGAAAAATCT